TTTTTTTTTTTTTTTTTTTTTGAGACGGAGTCTCACTCCGTTTCCCAGGCTGGAGTGCAGTGGCATGATCTCAGCTCACTGCAATCTCCATCTCTTGGGTTAAAGCAATTCTCCTGCCTTAGTCTCCCAAGTAGCTGGGATTACAGGCACCCGCCACCATGCCCAGCTAATTTTTTTGTATTTTTAGTAGAGACAGGGTTTCACCATTTTGGCCAAGTTGGTCTCGAACTTCTGGCCTCAAGTGATCCACCTGCCTCAGCCTCCCAAAGTGCTGGGATTACAGGCATGAGCTACTGTGCCCAGCTGAACCTTACAGTTTCTTAATTTATAAAATGAGAACAGAAAAAATGAGTAAGACCTAGTACTTGATAGCACAATAGGGTGACTATAGTCAATAATAACTGTACATTTTAAAATAAAGAGTATATTGGATTGTTTACAATTCAGTGGATAACTGCTTGAGGGGAAGGATACCGCATTCTTCATGATGTGCTTATTTCACATTGTATGCCTATATCAAAACATCTCATGCACCCCATAAATATATACGGCAACTATGTACCCAGAAAAAAATGAAATGAAAACAGAAGTATTTGTTTTGATAGGACAGTTAAAAGTAGTAAATGTTACTACATATGAAAGCATATAAAAATTGCAAAGTGTTATGTAAACATGAGCTGATGGCACTGATTCTTCTTTTCTGATTCTTATTTTATTTTTCTTCAATGAGTTAGGACTCAGTACAGTATTCATTTGAAGTGGGAATAGCAGGAGTCCTTGTCTAGTTCCTGATTGTAATAGAAAAGCTTTTAATATTTTGCCATTAAGTATGATGTTTGCTGTAGTTTTAAAAATGTTGATGCTTTTTATCAGATTAAGGAAATTTAAGCTTCTGATATTGTTTTTGGTGATATTTAGTAATATAGCAGATGGTGGAAGAATAGGAAGAAGTTTAAAGCAAATATGCTTTCTGACTGCAAGGAATAGCAAGATAGCAAAAGAAATATAAGAAACCCTTTTCAAGAGTCCTTTAGAACACTTCTTTAAGGAAATCAAATGTATGAATATTTTTAACTTATGTGATAAATAGGCAGATCTGGACTTGATTATTAAAAGGATTTTCTTTTTGCTTTAAAATATATTTCAGAGGTTCTGTTTTTAAGTGTACTAATTCATTTGAATAGGTATTACATGTATGTTTAAAATCGACTTTGTAAAAGATTGTCTTGCAGTCACGTAGTATTTTTTTAAGCCTGAAGCTATTGGTCCTGTCCTTGTTTTTTATTCTCGATTATTTTTAGTTGTTTTGTTTTACAAGTTGGACCCTATATAAATTAAAGCAGGGATTGGTGGCTGCAGCCTGTAGGCCAAGTCCTGCCCACTGCTTTGTACAGCTCATGATTGGCTTTTATATTTTTAAATTATTACAATATTAAAATGAATATTTTGACATGTAAAATGTATATGAAATTCAAATTTCAGTTTTTATTGGAATAGAGTCATGCTGTCTTTAACTGCGTTCATCCTACAATGGCAGAATTGAGTACCTGTGACTGACTGTATGTGGTGCTCTCATCACTTCAGGCAGTTGTAGGACTAATCATTTCATCATTTCACATTGTTTTTCAACCGATGCAATTATAACTTGACGGCAGTTTTTAAGTGTCATGTGTATTGTTGTACTGTGACAACTTTATTTTATTTTTATTACCTATGCATACCCATCATGTAAAAACCAGAAAAGAAAAGTGGACTTTGAATGTTGCACTTTTAGTGCATAATGGAATGTGGACTATTTTGTTATCGAAATGCAAAGCATTGTATTTTTTATGCAATGATGTTATAGCTGTGCTAAAAGAGTACAATATGTATTTGACATTACAATACTAACTACTCATCATCATATTCCCAACTCACAGAAAGCAATGGTCATAAAAATTAGAAAATTTAAAATGGAATATATTATTGTAGAATTGCTTCATGAAACTGAAAGGGAAAAATGGAGCTTCAGCCAAAGGAAGTTTCTGAGTGGCTTGTTTGTGAAGAAAGGAAGGCGATTTACCAATGATGAGTTAATTAAATTGTGTTTGATTGCTGCAGCAGAAAAAATGTGTTCAGGGAAAATATACTTAAGACTAGTAACATTTCAGCAAGAACAGTTGCCTAAAGAATTGAGAAAATTCAGACAAACAAACGAGTAGTCAATTAAAGAACAAGGCAAATTATTTCAAGTGATCTTCCTTGGCTGTGGTTGAGTTGACAGATGCTATCAATACCACTCAATTGTAGTTTGAGTTGTCAACGCTGAGCTTGAAGTGACTGAAGAATTAGTCTCTATAAAAAGTCTTTGCAGAACAACTTTAGGTGAGAATATTTTCAATGAAGTTTAGAAAACAGCAATTTACTACAACCTGAAGTGGAATCTGCTAAGATGTACTGTAACTACTCGTGGTAAAAATATGTATGTAGCAGAAAAAGACTTAGTTGTACAAATTGTACAAAACTTTTGAAACTGTAAGGTGTTTAAATTCTATGATTATTCATTGTATTATTCAACAACAGGTACTTTGCAGAACATATTTGAATTTGTTATTGTGTAGTGCCAAAGGGAACATCATTGCTCTCAAGGACTTAACCATTGTTAGTTATGTGAATTTTAATTATGAATAGAAGCTATCTTGACTTGCCTCACAGCAGTTTGATGGCTTAGCAGTGGTAAAGTTTTATTGTCATATTTTGAGCTCAAAACCTAGATTGAAATACTTCCAAATGAGAAGAACCAACTTCAGTCACTGTGTTTGAATACTGACTGGCTTTGGAAATTAGCTTTTGCTACAGCCTTGATAATGGTTCTTAATTATTGCAACCTAAGATTGCAAAGCAAAACAATGTATATATGCAAAACCTATAATGTGGTAAAGTCATTTAGAAAACAACATTGTAATGACAAGTAATTTTTTAAAAAATGCTATAAAAATGAAAACAAGAAACAGAATTGCCATTCCCACACAAATTTGCAGCCGATGCATTATCCAAGCTGAAATTATAGTTCCAGTAGAATTTTTCAGACCTCAAGGCAAGTGCAAAGGAAATTTCCATGTTTCTAAATCCATTTCACTGTATAATTGAAGAGCTTCAGTCTTTGGAGGTGATTAACTTCCAATGTAATAATACTCTAAAAGGCAAATGCCAAAAGAAGAATCTAATAGAATTTTGTAAATGCCTTCCAGACTAGTGAATATGCTCAATTAAAATCATATGCTTGTGGATTGGTATCAATATTTGGCAGTAACTACCTGTGTGAAAAGATATTTTTAAAAATCAGATATGTAAAATCTCATTACAGATCAGCATTAATGGATTATCATTTGCAATCAGTTTTGATGATAGAGAACACTTAGCTTTGAACCTCAATTAAGTGAAATGTTATCCACCCCCAAAAGTATTCCATTCTTTTCACTGGTAGACTTATATTACAAAAAATTGAACTCAATTATTATATAGGTTGAATATCCCAAATCTGAAAATTCAAAATCTGAAATGCTCCTAAATCCAAAATTTTTTGAATGCCAACATTATACTCGAAATGGTCCTTGGAGCATTTTGGATTTTGGATTTTTGGATTTGGGATGCTCAGCGGGGGTGTATTCTGCAGATATTCCAAAACTAAAAAAAAAATTGAAATCTGAAACACATCTAGCACTAAGCATTTCAGATAAGAGATACTCAACCTGTATTTGAATTTAGTCAATAAAGTTTGTGGAAATTTTGTATTTCTTTCGTATTTCTTAGGCTGGGTGCAGTGGCTCATGCTGTAATCCAGCACTTTGGGAGGCCAAGGCAGGTGGATCACCTGAGTTCAGGAATTCAAGACCAGCCTGGCCAACATGGAGAAACCCTGTCTGTACTAAAAATACAAAAATTAGCTTGGTGTGGTGGTACACACCTGTAATTCCAGCTTGGGAGGCTGAGGCATGAGAATTGCTTGGACTCTGGAGGCAAAGGCTGCAGTGAGCTGAGATCATGCCACTGCACTCCAGCCTGGGTGACAGAGCAATACTCTGTCTCTAATATCAAAAAGTACGTACTTGATTTTGCTTTTTGGTCCATAAAGCCCAAAATACTTAGTTTTTTCTTTACAGAATAAGTTTACTGACCCTTGGATTAAAGTACAGATGTTTGGCTTGGTCTTATCTAACAAAAAATTACTATTCTCTTTGAAGATGTTAGCAGATTTCTCCCCCTTTTAGTAATAAGTTAGCTAGCACATTAAAGACAGCTTAATCTATTTTGAAAAATGTTTTTATAGTAAAATCATCTTTTTATATGTTTGTGTTTCTTTGAATCTTTACATAAATGGTGTACTTTGGGTTGGGTATTCAGGTATTTGTTACTAGAATTTCAGTGAAGAAGTAATAATTTTATTTATAAATTTAATTAAGTATTAAGAACAGTTATTTATGTTTCATTCGATAACATTTAAGCCATAAGTTCTTCTTTCCATATGGAATAGTATGTCAATCTGTATTAAATATTTCTAGAGAAAAACTAGAAACTTAAATACATTTGTAAATCCAACATTGACATTCATAAAAGGTATCCTTTGAGATGATTCTTTCTGTTCCACCATGCCAACCTATATAAGCAGGCAAATCTTAGAAATGCTTGATTTTGAAAAGTTTTTCATATTTTTTTCCATGTCCCTTCTCAGATTCAATAAGATAGATTTTCAAGGTTTTTTAAAAAAGTCATGCTTACTATCTTCAGGCTTGACTAAGTAAAATATGTACTTATTTCCTTATAAAGAAAGAGAACATTTTTATTACCAGTGTATAAAAAGAGATTTGATACTAATTTTGTAAATTAATGTGGGTGAGGTGTTGAAAGGAAAAAGAAATAGTAGAAAGTAATGTTTCTGAACACATTAAAAAATGTGTGTATATATTTCAATTTAGAAAGGTGCTTTATACTATGTAAAGTCAATTTTCCCCCTAAATGGCTTGTAATATATAACACAGGCAAAAATATGAACTATATGTAGGTGAAGATGGAGATAATTTTTGTCTCTACACATCAGTTAAATTTTGAGACATCCTAAAATGAGAAAGTTTTCTTGTGTTTGCTACCGTGTGTCATTTGGCATGATGTTTTCTTGTATCTAAATATCTTAATATTTGATTTAGCTTTTATTGAAATCTTGTTTTCTAGATGAAGCATTGGATGATTTAAAATCCCAGAGGAAAAAAATAGTAAGTTAACTTTTATTTAAAATTAACTTATATTAAACTAATAAGAACTGAATAAATAATGTTTGTGTGTTGGAAGTTAATAACTCTCCAAGGAAGAAATATGCTTTTAGATAGCATTTTAATGATGAAGTGAAATTGTGAATATTTTTGCTAGTTAAAAATGATTGATAGGAAAAAGTAGTTTAGAAGGACTTTTGAGATTCTGAGAGTCTATATCAGTTGGAAGCTGAGAAGTAAGTAAATGAGTCATATTCGAGGCCTAAATGAGGCAGAGAGGGTAAAAAGGTGGGTACCCAGATTGTTTATTAGAGTTAAATACAAAAGGACAAAATATCTCCACATGTCAGTTCTAGGTTTTCTTGACACCAAGAAAGAGAGGGAATCAAGAAGATTAGTTGTAAGAGAAATTCAACATGAAAGTACTGAAGAAGAGATGGGAGAGAGAGAGATATAATTGTTTTCTTCAGAGTTTTCCACTTTCTGTCAGTAACTCTGATCACATGATATCTATTGTGGGGCTAGTTGATGCATCCCTTCAGATGTGTTGGAAAGAGGACCATGAGTAAGACAGAAGGAGCTCTAAATGTTGATAATATAGTAGTCTGTAATAAGTGAATTGAAGTTGGTGTTTGACATAGAGCTACTAATTTTTTAATGTTTATTTTTGAAGTGTGAAAATGTAACTGCTGATGGTATTATGTTGTATAGAAATGTATTTAATAAAATGTAATCAGGTGCAAATGATCAATTTGATACATTTTAGTCTAGTGTGTAACAAGTAATAATTAAGAAACCAATATTGTGAAGGTTAAGACTAACGTTAAAAATTATTCTGTGAATTGATGATATTAGATACTGGTTTTAAGGGCTTTAAGTACCTGAAAAGTAAGAGGACTTTAATTTTGAAAGGATTCCTTCGCTTTATTTGTTTGCTTCTTATTAGGTGTCCTATAAAGTATTTATCAAAATTGCATTGACAATTTTGGTGGTTCTAAATTGCCAAACACAGAATTATGTTATTATTATATTTCTGCTAGTCTGAACATTATGGAACAGCCAGAAATTCAAAGTGAGAAAATACTGATAGCATCAGTGATTTAGAAGTTGTGATATGATTGGTTTGACTTGCTGATGAGATAAAAAGAAAAGCTGGTACTGGTGATCAGAGACAAGTCCTGCTTATACCAAAATGGAGAAATATTAGTTAAAGTAGAAAAGATGAAGAGGAAGACAAAGGAAAGCAGAAAAGAAAAAAATCCTAAGTGATGAGAAGCAGCCCAATGTCACTGGCATCACATGGCCAGAAAACAGGATCTTGAAGAATATATGATTTGGAAAATCTCTCAATAGAGTAACAGAGCCGACTTGGAAAATTGTGTGGAAGGATAAGTCAAGCTATTTACTTTTCAATAGCCTTTAAAGGAATCGCAACATAAAAGATGTTCCATTTTAAGTCTGACAACAGTTAAAAAAGTTCAGAGTTCAATAGCTCTGTATGTTTAAATGGTTCATTAGGCATCAGTATTAATAATGCAGTATGGCATTTCTCTTGCAGTATGACTAAAGAAAAATAAGTTGGCTCTAATTCACTTTATTAATTAAACACAATTTGCATTTACTTGATTATTATTGTTGGTTATAATACTGTTTGCTACTGGAACTAGTCTGTGGTCTTGACTGTTCAAGCCTTTAACAGAGCTGCTTTGTTTGAGTAGTTTTACACTTTGGTTTTTTTTTTTTTGAGACAGAATTTTGCTCTTGTTGCCCAGGCTGGAGTGCAGTGGTGCAATCTTGGCTCACTGCAACCTCTGCCTCCCAGGTTCAAGTGATTCTCCTGCCTCAGCTTCTCAGGTAGCTGGGATTACAGGCATGCGCCACCACACCTGACTAATTTTGTATTTTTAGTAGAGACAGCACTTCACTATGTTGGCCAGGCTGGTCACTACTTGATATTTTATTAAAAGTGGTTTCCTTGGGGATGCATCCCTTTAATCTGAATAGATTTGTAATGTAATTTGAAATTTGTAAAATTGTAATTTGTAATGACAGATATGAATTATCAATTGATTAAAAAGTTAAATTAGGAAAAAGCATCTTAACAAGATTTTAAGAGCTTAATGTATTTACTTATTAATATAAAGTTAGGAAGTAATCTTTAGTTATCTAAAAAATTCCCAAGTCTAGATCTGAGTGCATTTTACCACTCACATATTTTGTGGTCCTTTAACAAAACTTGAGTTTTTAATAATCACTGAGTAATCTGTGCAAGCAGATAATCCCTCTGCATCCATGAGCATTCCTTCAAAACAGTTCAGAAATCAAGCTCTACCAAAATACATGAGTCAAGATTACCTCTTTAAATGACTTCATGAAAATTTTGTGCTTTTTTCAGAATAGTAGTCCTATGTGGTAATTTCTAGCGTTCCTTGGGAAATCTGTGTTTTTCTGAATCCTGAGAAAAATCACTTGAGAAATTGGGAACATGAGGAAAAGTGTTATACTTCCCTGAGAATTAAAGCTTAACAATCAATTACAGATGTTACTAGTTCAAAGGAATTCACTAATGTCAGCTGAAGGCAAGAGCAAGAAATTCTGACATGCTGAGTTACAGGTTAATGTTGACATTTCTGGGAGCAGTACAGAATCATACAGAAGTGGTACAATGTAATCATTTAGTCTTGTGGGCATTTATGGCACTCTCTTATTAATGGTGAGTCATTCTTGCAAATAAAAATGTTTATATACCTACTATAATTTATATAAATGTGTAAAGTATACTTTGTACAAATCCTATGCATGATATTCCATGAAATAAGTTTTGGAAGCAAAAGAAGTCCTTAAATTGGCAAATTTAGCTTTTATTCTCTATAGAGTTGTTAACCTTATTGTGGCTTCAAATGTTACATTTTTATATTACTCAGTAATATTTTCTGGCTTTTCCCAGTGTTTGAATATTCACTTTAGGCTACACAGTAACAGAAAAAATGCAAAGAAGAAAGATGTGACTATTATTGTGGAATACTCTTATATGAAAGCAGAAAATGATGTAACATCTGAATTAGTAAAAACATCATCAATTTCAACAGCAAACCCCAAATCAGGGATACCAGACAGTATTTTCAGCATGATAAAATGATGAGTTTATATGGTGTAACATGCTCCTTAATACTCTGAATTGCAAAATCAATGCAAAATGAAAGAAATGAAAGAAAGTTTTCTTACATCTGGAATATTTTTCACAAATAAATGTTGGTTAGGGAAATTAATGATTTGTGTGTTTTAAAATTCTGTTTTGAGAAATATTTGTAGAATTATCTTTCAAAACTTAAAAAATTTTTTTTGACATTTATTTTTGTGCTAGTATGCACAAAATAAGTTTTGTGCACTTTTTTGCTCTTGTTGCCTTTTATCTTTTAATGTTTTCTATGATGTAATGGTTGTATCAAGTAGAAATAATTTTTACATGTCATAGAAATATACAGTCTCATCACAATGTTGACTCTTAATATAATCATGTATTTATTATTCTATCTTTTAAAATAAAAAAGCCCCTAAAACTTTTAGTACAACCATATTACAGAAAAATGATTCATTCTTTACACTAACACTAACGATAGCCGATAAGCTCAAAAATAAAAAATTTCAAAAAAATGTTATAGTGTTTTAAAGTTTACGAATTTGTGTTGGGCTGCGTTCAAAACTGTCTTGGGCCACATGTGGCTGGTGGCTAAGGGTTGGAGAAGCTTGATTTAGAGAATTCTCAAGAATTCTAGTTTCTTTTTCCTGAATCTTGAGGTTCATATGTTGAGTTTTTGGAAATAGTTTGTTTCAGGCCCATTCTGAGTAACTGAGGTGTCACTGAAAATTATGTTAATATTTTAGGCACTGTTGTGGACTCTTTCTCCTATATTATATATTTTTAAAATTGCACAGTAGTGCTATGAAGTATCAAAATATCTATACAGAGGAGAAACTGAGGCTGACAGATATGCTAACAGTCTTCCTAAGAATGGAAATGTGCATTGAACCCAGATCTTTTCTCACTTTGAAGTTTCAAGTTCATGTTCTTTCCACTGAACAGTGTATTTAAAACATATTATTAAATGTTGTATGGATGTGTGTTAATTAAGCTATTATGTGAAAATATTTTGTTAGAAATAAATGTAAAAAATGGGAGATAGATTTGCATCTTTTAGTACTTAAAAATTATTTTATTTAAGATAAATAAAAACATAGACACACTTGAATACTTGCTGAATAATCTACCAGGAATGCAGTCATTCGATAAAGTAGCATTTTGATTTGGAGTTTTGTTTGTTGTTTTAAAGATCACAGTTTAATCTTTTTAAACCTAGTAGTAGTTTTAGAGTTATCTGTCCAAATCAGTATGGCTGTTTACATTTACATTATTTAAAATGAAATAAAACTACAGGCTGGGTGCAGTGGCTCACACCTGTAATCCCAGCACTTTGGGAGACTGAGGCAGGTGGATCACTTGAGGCCAAGAGTTCGAGACCAGCCTGGCCAATATGGCGAAACCTCATCTCTACGAAAAATACAAAAATTAGCCAGGTGTGGTGGCACGCATCTGTAATCCTAGCTACTTGGGAGGCTGAGGCAGAGAATCACTTGAACCTGCGAGGTGGAGGCTGCAGTGAGCCGAAACCATATCACTGCACTCCAGCCTGGGTGACAGAGTGAGACTCCATCTAAGACAAAACGAAGCGAAACAAAACAAAAGTACAAATTCAGTTCCCCTGTTGCACAAGCAACATTTTAAGTGCTCATTTATCACATAGGGCTTAGTGGCTACTATTATGCTGACATAGACCGTTTTTGTCATTGCCTAAAGTTTTACTGCACAACACTGCTAGAACATCAAAAGTCTACTGTGTAGTGATCAGTGATTTGTTTCTTTGATATTCCATGTAGATTATGTTGGTTTGGGGATGTATTTTATTATGCCCTCTTTCTACCCCCGTTCCTAGTTTCTCTTTTTTTCCTAACCCTAAAGTGATACTATAAACATCTCCTTTACATCAGAAAAATCAACTTGCTTATTTTGAGAATTTATCATAATTTTGCAATAGGAAAATATTTTAGTTTCATTAAACCAAGGTAAGGCTAATAAATCATTCATCTAAGTACCTACTTCTTAAATGTTGAATTGAGTGTTTAATGAGGAATCTGTTAACTGCTATTGTGGCAGCATATTTTTAACTCAGTAAATGTGCTCTGGGTTGCATTTTAAAATAAATGTCCTTTGGAATGAATATGACATTTAATCTAAGTGGTTATCAGTGGTCACTGAGAAAGAAAAGGTTCTTTTCCAGTTTTTGCAAAAGCATTTTATCCTACACATTAGGTAATTTGTCATAACTATGACTGTCTTGTACTAAAGTTCAACCTTTTTCTGATGTTGAACTAGCCATAACTGCTCATGATACTTTACTAGCGATTATATTTTAAGTTAAACCCGTGTATTAAGTTATAAAGTGACTTGAGTGCATGGTAAATAAAATGCTACAATAATGAAGTGATTTAATTATAGTCCCTAGTGTGAACATAGAACTCAGTAAAATTTTTACTTAAATTCTGTGCTCAGTTGTTTCTCTAAAGTTGTTTGAGTCTAAGTAAAAAAGAGGTGAGGGTTATCTTTTAAAGTCATTTGAACAAATTCCATGGCTGTTCTCCCAGTTAGTGAGTTTTCACTGCATTTGCAGCAAGCTAATTGCTTCTGCTAATAAATAATCTAAAATCGATGCTGACAGCAGTTAATTGGCACAGAGATTTTATTTTGTAAAGCTCTTGGCTAACGACCTTCTTTAAATTAATAGCATTAAGTGCTATGAGGAAATAAATCTAAGGAATTGCCTGTCATTTGCTTGTCATGTCTAATAACTTCCAATAATGATGGCTGATAGATTTTTGCACATTCCATTATTGAAGTTGGTGCATGTAATTATTCTCCTCATTATATGTAAACAATTAGCAATATTTGGTATTTCCTCACAGTAAAGCTGTTAAGTACAAGTAACATTAGAGGTTAGAAGCCATTTTAAAATCTGGATTTTAATTATTCGAATGTAGGAAGTCTTTCATTCTATTTGGATATGTTAAGGATATTTAAACCTTTTTGAATAGGACTTATAAAAATAAGTAGTGTGTGTTTTGAAATGTGACAATTTATGGAAATTTTTGTTCGTAGCTTGAAGAAGTCATGGAAAAAGAAACTTACAAGACGGCTAAATTAATACTTGAAAGGTTTGATCCAGACTCAAAGAAAGCAAAGGTAAGACTGTGATATAACTACTATTTTATTATAAATTACACATTGTAATAGGTCACTGTAATAACATTATTATAATTGACAGGAGTGTGAGCCGCCATCTGCTGGAGCAGCTGTAACTGCAAGACCTGGACAAGGTAAATAGCTTTGTAGAAACTGCTGCTCCTGTTGGAAAGATCCATATTTACCCAAGTGAGTTCAAAAGTGTGTTGGAGGTGTGCAAAAACTTATGTAGAATGCTTCTATGTAGATTTATATTTGGTAATTTGTGATATGACTTAGGGTGGATAGCAATGATTTTATTTCATTTTGATTTTATGGGAATATGTTGTTAGGATATCAAATATATGTTGAGATTAAATATATGATTGGCTTTAATCTTTTAAAATTTAAGTAATTTCATCAATATTTTGTAAATATTTCCCACTTTCAAATAATAATCTCTTGGAATGTCTGTTATGAAAATCCTTACATTTTATGTTTTATTTTTGAAAAATGTTACGATTTCTGTGAAATTTTAAGTTTCTTCTAAAATAACACTTAAGAATAGAATAAAATAATTTAGAAATAAGAAAAATGAAAATTGAATTATCGCTATATTATGTTAACTCTTTATTTTTGAGGTTGTATTACCATATTATTAATGAAGTCATTGCTATTACATCATTAAATGTTATAAAAAATTTTAACAGTCATTCTATTAAGTGGTTACATAAAATATTCCCAAGACTGGCATGGGAAAAGATATTCTGAGTTTGCAATGACTTTTGTCTTTGTTCTTTTCTGTAATAATATAGTTTGTAAGGGTTTTGTTGCAATATAGAATGTTACTTTTAAAAATGTAACTTCAATTTTTGCAGCCCCCCAGAGTTATAACCTACTTTGTAAAGGTAGGATGACATTTAGACCTTTGAATGAAAATCTTTTTATAAGTATTCACAAATATCATGGATATTAAATAAGTCATAATAATTTTAGGTTTTCCAGTTGGCAGGGCTATATGGGAAGAATTCCCTCCACCTCCACGTTTTCCATAAGTAGGATTTTGGTTCATAGAAATATTAACTCTTTTTTTTGTTGTGAAGCCTTCACTTTTGCAAAAAGTAGAAGTTCACATATGATTAAAATGAATTAGGCATATATACTTGCAATGAAACTCCTACTTTCATAACCAGTTTAAAGTTTTCTACAATATATATACTTTCTAGTAAATACAAAAACATTTTTTGGCCTATAAGGCAGATTTCTATAATTTCTAAAGCATTTTGTATAACTGGAACTAATTTTTCAAGAATATCTATATCTATCTATATCTATCTATCTATCTATCTATCTATCTATCTATCTATCTATCTAGAGACAAAGTCTCGCTCTGCCCCCTAGGCTGGAGTGCAGTGGCACAATGTCAGTTCACTGCAACCTTGGCTTCCCTGGTTTAAGCGGTCCTTCCACCTCAGCCTCCCAAGTAGCTGGGATTACAAGCATGCGTCACCACACCTAGCTAATGTTTGTATTTTTAGTAGAGATGGGGTTTCACCACGATGGCTCAGCTGGTCTTGAACTCCTGACTTCAAGTGATCTGCCCACCTTGGCCTCCCAAAGTGTTGGGATTACAGGCATGAGCCACCATGTCCAGTCAAGAATATTTTTTAGTTAAACTCGTAGCAGCAGAGAGTAGAAATATTATTTCTAGGGGTGGAGAGCAGGGATGGGAGAAATGGGGGAAATGTTAGTCAAAGGATATAAAATTTCAGTTATTTAGGTGAATAACTTCAGGAGATTTAAGTACAGCATGGTGAGAATACTAATACTGTGTTGTATACTTGAAATTTGCTAAGAAAGTAGATCTTGTGTTCTCAGCACACATACACACACGCACACACACACACACACATAAAGGTAACTGAGTTTTTGGATTTGTTAATTAGCTTGACTATAGTAATCTTTTCCCAATGTATAAAATACTTTAAAAATGACCTTAGTGAATGTATTTTTAAAATGTGATATTTTGTAGAAAACTGTTGTTATTACTTTTTACTAATATATGTTCTGTCTTATTAAAGAACAAAATTATGATACCCTTTACTAACATTCTTCAGTATTTATTATATTTAGGCAACATAATTATTTTAAAAATCTGAATTTATCTTTTCTTAGTAAAGTTTGAAACCCAAATAATTTTTTTCCTTCTGATGTCATATTGAAATTATAGAAAAATGATTGCTGATCTCTGTAGCAATCATTTTTCTATAATCCATGCTTTGGATTCCTGTGACTTTGCTTTTCGATATTCTTTTAGGAAGAATTAACATTTAGGTATAATATTGAATAACTGTGATGTGCAGACAATATGGGAATAAAGAAATAAATAACATGGTTTTTGACCTTAAGCTTATGGCCTAATGATTTTATTTTAAAAAATACTTCTTCTGGTGTACACTGTTGTAGTGTTCATTGTTCTTCCAAGTATGTAGTAATTAATTGCTGTTTGGAATTTTTTCTTAACTTAAAAAAAATTCTAAATTATATCCCAGCTTTATTCTACTTTTTGAAGATTATACTTTAGTTTTGTGTTTAATTTACTTGTTTTGAATATCTCTTAGTTCCTATCATTTCTATAGGTGACTTAGTCATTAATTTTGTTTAATTTCCGTATTTCTGTGAGTTTGAAGTCAGGTCTTTATTTTTTTGCCAAACCACTGTTCTCTCTTTTTCTTATTGTTTTTAGAATTTAGCGTGTTTCTAAACTTAAACAATAGAAAGTGGAAAACAAATACTAAAAGATACATGTATGTACCTATGTGCCCTTGAAAAGATCTGTCCAAAATGAATCTGATTGTGATATCCTTATCTTAGTAACTCTCCTGCATGATTACTGAACCAGAACTTTGAGTCATGTGTACTAGGCATGTTTCTTTTTATTTTTTGTTATTAAGTTGTTCATGATGGATATTATTGATTATAAATTTTGAGGATAGTATTCTTTGATTTGCTAAGGTTTAACACTAAAAGGAGTATCATGTTTACCAATTGCTCTAAACTAACCTAGTCCCTCCACTCTCACCCCTTAATAGACTTTATTTTTTAGAATAATTTTAGATGTATACAAAAATAGCAAAGATAATATAAATACTCCCACATACTCTTGTGCTGAGTTTCTCTTATATTAACATGTGGTACATTTGTTACAGTTTGATGCTTTATTGTTAACTAAAGTCCATAGTTTATTCATATTTCCTTAGTTTTTATCTGATGTCTTTTTAGTTCTAGGATCCCATCCAGATACAGCATTGCCTTCTGTTGTCTTGTCTTCTTAGGCTTCTTTTGGCTCTGACATTTCTCAGACTTTCCTTGTTTTTAATGACTTTGACAGTTTTGCCCCAACTCTTTTCTATAAGGAATTTTTATCTATGGGTGCTTAATCTTAGAAAATCAGGGCCATCACTTGATATGAAGGAATAACCAAACATAAAAGTAAATATATGTATATATTCACATTAAATGGCATTATTTTCTGCTTAGATGCTTAGTATTTTAGTTCTGTAGAAATTATAGACTGGGAGATGGGAAGACTTAATGTCTTTAGTAGATTAAAATGTAATAGTTTGGATGTAAATGAAAAATAGAATTTGCCACAGTATGAATTCCTGAATAGTTTCTATAGATTTCTAAAGAAATCTAGATATTTGGAGGTGGTGAAAATTAAACTTGTCTTTAAGATTTTGATTGGTATACAGAACTAAATTTCATTTTCATGCACTAGTGTCTGATTTATTCTTCTTTTTTTTTTTTTTCAATGCATGTTTACTGAGTGTCTGCTATCTGCCAGGTACATTTTAGGCCCTGGTGATACAGTAGTGAACAAAACAGTTAAAAACATTTCTCTCCCTTTGTTGGGAGTGAGGAGATAGCCAGTAAATTACTGTTAGGAGAAAATAAAGGATGGTGAATAGGGAGTACCTTGAGTGAGGGCAGGTTGAAATTTAAAATAGGATTGTCAGGGAACACCGCATTGATAAGGTGACATTTGATGAAAGAAATGAGAGTATGAACCTTTTAGATATCTGAGGGAAGCACATTCCAGATAGAGGAATCAGTAAGTGCAAAGACCCTGAGTGAAGAGCATGTCTGGAGTGCTGTAGAACAGCAGGGAGGCCTGTATGACTGGACTAGACTGAGCAAGGGGGAGATTAGGAAGAGTGGCAGTGAGAAAAGTAACAAGTAAAAGTAGTATCTCATGTAGGGCCTTGTAGAATGTGGACCATTGCAAAAACTTCAGTTCTCAATTAGGTTTTTTTTTTTTTTTCTAAGAAATTTTGTTTTGTTTTGAGCAGAGTATTGACATGGTCTTAATTATGTCTTAAAAGGAAGTCTACTGTATTGAGAAGAGGCTACAGAGGGAGCAAAAGTGAAAGCAGGAAGATTAATTAGGAAGCTACCGCAGTAATGTCGGAAAGCATTTGATGATGGCTTAGACCAGGGATATCCAATCCCTAGGCTACACTGGAAGAATTGTCTTGGGCTACATATAAAATACACTAACACTAATGATAGCTGATGCTAAAAAAAAATAAATCTCATAGTGTTTTCAGAAAATTTGCAAATTTGTGTTTGGTTACATTCAAAGCCATCCTGGGCCACAAGCAGCCTGTGGGCCATGGGTTGGACAAGCTTGGTTTAGACCTTGGATAGTAATATTGGAAGTGGTTTTTAAAAATAATTAACTAGGCCAGGCATGGTGGCTCATGCCTGTAATCCCAGCACTTTGGGAGGCCAAGGTGGGTGTATGACTTGAGGTCAGGAGTTCAAGACCAGCCTGGCCAACATGGTGAAACCTCGTCTCTACTAAAAATATAAAAATTAGCCAAGCGTGGTGGTGGCTACCTGTAATCCCAGCTACTCGGGAGGCTGAGGCAGGAGAATCGCTCGAACCCGGGAGGTGGAGTTTGTGGTGAACCGAGATTGTGCCACTGCACTCCATCCTGGGCAACAGAGCAAGACTCTGTCTCAAAAACAAATGATTTGTTTATATTTTTTAAAACTTAATTTCCTCTTACTTTCTCTTCACCCCAGGTTAAGGTGATTTATGAAATAGTCAGATTCTGTATATATTTTTAAAACAGAATCCAAAAGATTT